CTGCCCTCTTCCACTACCTCCCCACGCTCCTTCCCTGGTGAAATGTTCAACACACTTCGCATCAAACCCTGTTCAAATGGCCTTTCCCCACATTCTTCATGGCCGAGTTTAAATAATTTCCTCACAGGGGTCTGCCTATCCAGTAGTCCCAAACTTTTTGGCTCCAGGGGCTAGTTTTGTGGAAGACATATTTTCCATGGATTAGAGCGGGGTGGGGAATGGTTTGGAGATAAAGCAAGTGTGTCGCATTTACTGTGCACTTTATTTTCATGATTACATCACAATATATAATGAAAGAATTATACAACTCACCATATGCAGTATTTGCAGTCCCTCCCCAACACTAGCATCAATTACCTCAGCTCCCCCTCAGATCATTAGGCATTCGATTCTTGTGAGGAGCAGGCAACCTAGATCCTTCCACAAGCATTTCACAGTAGTGTTCATGCTCCAGTGGAAATTTAATGTTGACCTGACAGGAGGCAGCACTCAGGCAGGGATGCAAGTGATGGGGAGTGGCTGTAAATACAGATGAAGCTTCACCTGCTTGTCCTCAGCTCACCACCGCTGTGCAGCTTAGTAACCTTCTAACTGGGGTTGGGGACCCCTGTGCTAACCTATTCTTCGTCTTTGTTTTCATGAGCTCTATCTGTACTTGTATTTATTTGTCTGGCTTCCTTCACTCAACAGATATTTATGGAATGTCTGCTGTGCATCAGGCCTGTACCAGGTATGGGAAACAGAGCACTGAATAAAAGCAACCAGCCCAGCCCTCAAGGAGGCTACGCTCTAGATGGGGAAACAGACAATGGTATTAGATAGTACTATCATGTAGTAAACTGAATATCATAAGTGTTACAAGAAAAATAAGGCAGGAGATAGACAGGACAGGATTGTAGTTTTCTGTTGTTTGTTCTTCTTTAAATTGATAGAGGGTACATGCACTTGATGGAGAGAGACAGAAAGAAATGGAGAAGGAGGAAGTCCCACCTCAGTAAGGGCATGATCCAGTGCCTTAACCACCACGCCACCTGCTGGCTCCGAAATCTTTGATTTTTAAAATGAAAGGTTTACCGGTACAAATGTCACTCCTCAATTTATCGGTTTTCTCCTTTTCTTTCTTTTTTTTTAGGTTTACTTATTTACTTCATGAGAGATAAATATAGGACCTCCTACCTCAAACAGGGCCCAGATCATGAGCACACGTGCACTTGCCCAGCAGTATAGGAAGGCCCCAGGACATGAACCCAGGACCTTCCCAGGCGGGTCTAGCTGCATTACTGTTGTGTCACTTGTCCAATTTACCAGTTTTCTAAATGTGCGTCTTCTCATTCCAGATTTCTCAAAGAAGTAAAGCTTTATTTCTAGATTCTTAAGGTAGTCTCCTTAAAGCTTACACCTCAAGGCATACTTAAAAAGACTAAATCTTAGAGACTCTTAACTCCTATCTTAATAAAACCACTTGTCTTTAAAATGGCTCAAAAGCACACTTACCCTGTGATCCCGGACGTAACGTAATCTTTC